GTTGACATGGTAGACAGGAGCGGGTCCAACGCCGTACATCCCGGTTGATGTTGGGCCAGACGAATCGGTCAGTGATGAGTTTCACTGTCGCCCGGACTCCAGGGTGGGATAGATTGTGAAGAGCGTTGAACACTCGTCGTCATAAAGTTGCTGGAACAAAAGGACGTTCGTGTCCGGTAGAAAGGTCCTACGTGATGGTGCCAGTGCCAGTGGGAAGGGGGACATCTTGAAGGCGTAAAGAAGAGTCCTCGTGGCGGTATTGTGAGAGCTCGTCATCCGATCGCCGAGCCTCAGGCATGAGTGTGAAGTTTATGGCGTCAGTTGTGATGGAAGCCATCTCGATTCTTAAGAGAGCATCAGCAACCACATTTTCCTTACCATGGACATGTTGGATGTCGCAGGAAAACTGTGAGATTAAGTCTAGATGACGAATTTCACGGGGCGAGTATCGATCGGGAGAGGCCCTCAGTGCAAAAACGAATGGCTTGTGATCTGTTAGAACAACAAATTCACGACCCTCCAGGAAATGGCGGAAGTGCCGGATGGATAGATAGACGGCAAGGAGTTCGCGGCCGAAGACACTGTAGCGGGTCTCTGCTGGGTTGAGCTTCTTCGAGAAGAAAGCCAAAGGCTGTAGAACACCACTAACAGTTTGCTGCAGTGATGCACCGACTGCAATGCTGGAAGCATCTGTCATGAGAGTTAGCCGGGCATCTGAGCGGGGGTGAGCAAGCAGTGTTGCGCTCGCAAGTGCGGCCTTGTCGTCATTGAAGGACCTGACGGCCTCCTCGGTCATCACTAGTGTCTTCTTGGAGTGGGTCAACAGGATGTTGAGAGGCTGCAGTATGGTGGCACCATGGGGAAGAAAACGGTGATAGTAGTTCACCATCCCCAAGAAGCGGCGTAGTTGGTTGATGGTTGTCGGGACGGGGAACGCTGATATGGTCGAAACCTTTTCCGGGACGGGCTTTATCCCATCTGAGTTCACTTCGTGACCAAGGAAGATAAGACTGGGGACTCCAAACTCACATTTGGCGGCATTGATGATAACGCCGTAGGAGTCGAGCCGTTCGAAGAGCTGTCGAAGATGAATCTCGTGTTCAGCAGCGTCAGAAGTAGCCACTAGCAAATCATCAATGTAGGCGTAGACGAAGTTGAGACCCCGCAGAACCTGATCAATGAATCGCTGAAAGGTTTGAGTAGCGTTCCTTAGACCAAAGAGCATACGAGTGAATTTGAATAACCCAAAAGGAGTGGTCACTGCAGTTTTCGGAACATCACTGGCCTCGATCGGGATTTGGTGGTAGGCACGCACAAGGTCAATCTTAGAGAATATTCGCTTACCATATAGCGAAAGAGTGAAGTCTTGGATGTGCGGGACGGGATACTGGTCGGGGACAGTCACAGAGTTCAATGCCCGATAGTCACCACACGGTCGCCAGTCCCCATTCTTCTTGGGGACAAGGTGGAGGGGTGATGCCCAGCAGCTGTCGGACTGTCGGATGATGCCGAGCTCGAGCATGTGCTCGAACTCTGCCTTGGCAATCTTCAAACGGTCCGGAGCAAGATGACGTGGTCGGCAAGATTTGGGAGGTCCGTAGGTGGAAATATGGTGGGTGACTGTGTGTTTGATGTCCACTTCACGAAATGACGGGTTGGTCAGGTGGGGAAACTGCCTGAGGAGTGAGTGGAAAGGACAGCCAGAGATGGGCATAACAGTGAGAGGGTTGACACAGGGGTTCACATCGGATTGACATCAGGCATGAAGGTCGGTGATGCAGTCGACGAGTCGGCGATTCTTCAAATCAACCAGTAGATTGAAGTGAGCTAGGAAATCGGCACTTATGAGGGCGACGGAGACGTCAGCAATAATGAAAACCCATCGGAAAATTCGACGGAGGCCCAAATCAAGTGTGATGGAGCGCTGTCCAAAGGTGGGGATGCTGAAGTTGTTGGCAGCTGTTAGATAAAAAGAGCTGCGGGTTTTGCGTTCGGCCGGATTTGGTGGAACCACGCTAACCTCGGCACCAGTGTCGACAAGGAATTTGGCGCCAGCGATACGGTCCCAGAGAAACAAACGGCGAGTGTGGAGATTGGCAACGCTTCCAGCAGCAGTGGACTCTACTGTCGGGTGGGATTGTCTCCCTGAGGCCGTTAGAGATGCCTTGAAAGAGCATGGCTGAAGACATCGTCGAACTGCTCCTCCAAATTGTTGGTGATACCAACAGACGCTACTTGGAGATTGTGGACGGCGGATGTGGGAATCGGAGGAAGTAGGGCGACGGTTTGGTGTTCGCCGCGGGCCGTTAGTGGTAACTGCAGTAAGCTGAGCATTCAGGCGGATTAATACCTCCTCGAGCCGATCCAAGCGTACGCTAGCTCCTTGAGAATTTGGGTTAATGAGGGACTTCTGGTCTTGGGACATCGCGCTGTAGGTCGCCGGAAGATTGTTGGTGACGAAACGTTTGCGGAATTCCAGTGTTCGGAAATTCGGGGTCACCAATTTGTGGCGGTCAAGGAGGTGAGATCGACTTAAACCACGCACAATAAGTTCTTTTCGTCTACTGTCAAAAGGCAGGGAGCTGTGAGGACTAGTTTATTCTGTACACAGGGCAGGTTGCCGTCAGTTGGCGGTTTGCTTGCAACAGAGAAAAGCGTCCGTTCACGGAGAGCGTCAGTCACGGTGTTTCTTGTTAACGCGAGTGTGTGTGTCTAAGTCAGCAGGAGGGCGTGACTGTCTGCGTGGTGGTCGTGTGATTGTACTAATTAGGGGACGAATGGAGAACGCATACTCACAAGGCCTCACGGGAATCAAGCCAGAGCGTTCGACGCGCGTTAGGTGATACTAGTTTGTGAGGGCAGCCGGGAGTCACTGCAGCTGGACAGGAGGGGCCTCAGTTCTAGCCGGTGTGGGTGGTCGTGTGTCAGCGGCCTGTCAGTGCTTGTCACGGCCGTCGACCGACAAAACGGAGCCGGAGAAAAGGGGGGCTGGAGCGGCTGCTACAACTTGTATGTTGAGAATTCGAGGTTTCGAACGAATCCTTGTCGCCAGGACCTGACGAGATTCCACCCAATCTTCTCAATGCAGTTGCCATTTAGCCTTTTTTTACTTTGTCGATGCTCTTTCAAACGTCATTTGACATTGAAACACTTCCTTTGGTTTGGGAGTCGGTGCATATCACTCCGCTATGCAAAGGAGATAGCAGGACATCGACGACAAATCACAGATTCATAAGCTTAACATGTACTCTATGCAAAGTTATGGAGAGGATAAAAAATAGTGAACTGAAACATTTCCTGGACGGTCACGGCCTGCTATCGAAATGCCAACATGGGTTCCAGAAATGAAGATTCTGCGCAATAACCTTGCTGCAAACTCTCCAGAGCTGAACCCGAGATCTCAGCAACAAGCGCGCGGTCCAGATAACTTTCATTGACTTCCGGATGAAGTTCCACGCTGTGCCATACCAGAAGCTGTTACGCAAGCTGAAAAGGATGGGGATCTGAGGCGACTTCCTTGTTGGTCGACAACATGTTTGTGCATCGGTCATGGGAAATCAGATCCTGCTGTGGTCGAGAGTGGTGTCTCCCAAAGTTCAGTACTGAGAACTATTTTGTTTCATATATATGCAAACGATTCCTCCAGGGCTTTAAACTTCGAGGCAGCAATGTTTGGCGATGACATGAAGATATGGAGTGTAATTCGAGACGCTGCTGACGAAGACAGACTGCAGATGAACCTAAATCGGTCAGACTAGTAGTCAAAACGCTGACTCCTGCAATTCACTGTTGGTAGGTGTAGCATACTTTGCCTACAGCCAGCTACTCCATCAAAAGAGACTACTTTCCAGACGGTGCAGCCCCACAAGAGGTCGAGGGTCAGAAGGACCTCAGTTTGTTGACGGCGAATCCACCAAAACCATCCGCGCCTTGTTCGGCAATGGCAAGAAGCGCAATGTGCGTACTGTAAGTCATCAAGCTTACGTTAATGGATTTCGATGATGGTGCTTTTTCAAAGACATTCGGAGCATTCCTCCGGTCGCACTTGGAGTACGGCATAAATCCTGGAGACGGTGGGCGGTTGAGGATCAAAACTGCCACGAAAAAGTTCAGAAGAGAGGGCCGAAGATGGTTAGGGGTCAAGGTTATTTCCCTATAAAACCCACCTAGTAAATATGAACCTCTTCCATTTGCGTTACAGGTACATTATCTCGCAAGAATTTCAAATTTTAAAGGGGTTGGAATGCAACCTGGTCTTTGAGGACTTTTTGAAATTCCTACCACGACCAAACTCCGAGGTTATTCGTCTGAACTGAGCACTTAGCAGGCAAGGCTGGATGTGCGAAAGATCTCCTTCTCTCTTCGAGTAGTCCAACCATGGAATGCCCTTCCAGCGGATGTTGTGGTTTCACTATCTATACAAAGCTTCAACAAGAACCTAGACCTTTTCATATTCCGAAATGGTCAAGAGCGATGAGATGTCGAGGTCATCCCCTGTAACTCACTCCCATTTTGTCCTAACATTACGGACTCGATTGATACGTTTCAGCCCAAAAATGCTTCTGTACACCACATATTTTTACGTTGCGAATAGGGTAATCAAAAGCGTATGCCTATTCCCCTCAATAAACTAAATTGAAGTGAACTGATATCATAGAACGCAAAGAGCAGGTGTAGCGCAAGTGGCCGAATAGATACTATAAGCTGCTGGAAAAGACCAAGGGCGGTTGGTGAAAGGCCTAAATATTCTAAAGTCCGCATTTTACAAGTGCAAACTTGGTGCGCTAAAACCCTTCCTCCAAGGTATAAACGAATCCATGAACTGATACTAAAACATTGTAATTTTAAGAGGTAGTTGCTATGTCCAACAAATCAGGGGCCCATTCTCGTCGGCCAGAACAAATAATGTCTTTTGAAACCCTATAAAACCTTGTCGGATGTGTACCCGCAGGAGGTTGTCGTGCGTTTTTAGCGACCTAGCAATTATGGACACAGTAGAGGAATTGCGGGCAATAAGTACGCAACTATGTAGCGATTTCGTCAATCCGAAGCTTCTCAGTCTAAGTGTTTATGGATTTATTTTCGAGCTAAACTTCACAATCTACTGCAAAATACCGACGCAATTCTCACAAGCTACCAACAGGCAGTCGGTAGTATAAAATTATTAGATGATCTAAAATGCTGACAGCAAAAGTGATTGTAGCAGATCACATATGCTGATTGTGCCGATCGCATGTCGTATGAAGAACCTGCGAGGTAAATCGGCTTATTAGTGGTCATCAGCAGTTCCCATGTAATTGCTTTGTCAACTCAAACAATGTCTAAGGATACGACTGGACCCTTGAATTTGTCCGAGCTTAAGTGCACAGAAAGTGCACACTTGACAAATATATAGGAATATTTCATTGAAAAAGTCAAGTTGTTAACCACGTGTTTTCGGTTATTCGTCATTAGGCCAATACAGTTACATGAAGGAATGAAAATGTAGAAAATTAACAGCGTTTATAGGAGTCTCAAGGGCCATTGGGTCATTATCACTTATCTTCACCATGCCGCCGTATGACGAGGTCGGCGAGTTTTCGTCCTAAATGCTAGAGGGAGGGTGCAAAGCAGTGTTGAAGCAATGTTCTTGGATTGAGAACACACAGTACCCATCACTGTAATTAGGAATTAGGGGTAACAAGCCGTCATCGCTTGAAGTTAGCGTTGGTTAAGCAAACAGAGCGCTTGTGTTGGGGTTTTTTGACTGGTTTGCTCTCTGCGTCTCCTGCAAAACACTATCTCATGAATAAATTTTTCTTTTCCACAGTCGCGACAGTCGGCTTTGCGGCGCGTTTCGCAAAATTTCGGAGAATAAATCTTTCTGGGCATCCGTTTTCCCGAAATATTTTCCAAAGCTGCTGGAACTCATCTTTAGTATCTTCAGGTGAGCAGATGCGTCTCACTCTAGCTGCCAATCACTGAACTAATTTTCGTTTGATGTTAAGGGGAACAAAACTGTGGAAGTTAACATATTTTCCGTCCGGGTTTCCTTTCGAAACACCCTGCGCTGGATACACCCATCGTCCTGCCTGTGCAGAAGCACATCGATAAAGGCAAATTCGTTATGATAATAGTCATAATAACAACAATAATTGTTTTTAATGAGATTTATCTTCCTCGGCCTCTGCAGTGAACTTTAGCGAGGGGTGCGCACAAATGAACTTTCGGACAAGATCCTGGGTATCGGTGATACCAGCCGCCAGGCAGAGGATATCGTCCAGGTACATACAGTAGAAGACGAGAGCATTGATGGTAGCTTGAAATTTTGTTTTCTAGTCGTTGCCCATAAAAATATTTGTAAGAAAATCTATGCGGTGAGCCCATTGCCACGGCATCTAAAGACTGGCATAGTTAAACGTTGCACAGAAAGTGGGCATTTTGTGTGCAAAGTGTCAGCATTACTATTAGCGTTTTCGTCGGCATGTCTATGGGGTAGTTCGTAGCACGAATTACATCACAAATATATTCTGTTTTTTTGTGACACAGGTACGCTAGTGAACAGCGATGATACATTCCGTGATAACATCCTCCGTCTGCAAACGTTAAAATGTTTGATATCTTTGACAAACTCTAAGCAGTCTTTTGAAATTTGACAGCAAAAATAACAATATAAGAAGTACTTTACGCTCGATGGAACAATCTACGAGCAGGTGAAGGGAACGCCAACGGGTTCGCCGATTTCGGGACTCATAGCCCTAGGACGACTAGAGTCACTGGTTTTCCGACACCACAGACCACACAGTATGTGGATAACACCTTCGACGTCATCGAAAGGGATCCGGTGCTGACACTCAAAGAACATCTCAACGCCGTCTTCCCGGAAATTCAATTCACGATGGAGGAGGAGGAAAACAACCAGCAGGCCTTCCTGGATGTCCTCGTCTACCGCAAAGATTGTGGTTGCCTAAAAACCAAATTGTTCAGGAAAGCGACAAATACGACGCAAATACTGAACTTCAATAGCAACCACCCGATCAGCCACAAACGCAGTTGCGAAAGGGCGCTATACCGGCACGTTGAGACGCACTGCAGTGAACCGAAAGCCAAGGGTGCCGAATCTCAATATCTTCGACGGGTTTTCAGAGAAAATGGTTACCCGCGCAACTTTCTCAACCAGTGCACATGAAAAGGACACCAGAGACCAAATCCAACCAGCCCCAAATTTTGACGGGCTCTTCGTACGTGAAGAACGTCTCGGAAGCTGTCAGTCGTCTTCTTACTCCACTTGGAGTTGGGGTTGCACACAGTCTGGAAGCAACCATTAAGCGCCAAGTCATGAGGCCAATATACCCGCTGCCACGGCAAGAAACGTCTGGAGTTGTTTACCGGATCTGGTGTAGTTGTGGACAAAGCAACTATGTTGGAGAAACTGGGAGATTACTC